AGTTTATTTTTAGCTTTATTCTAAAACAATAAGAAATAGACCTGTCAAACCCTATATTTTTGTAATCAGAAAAAAATAACGAATTTAATAAGCGAATAATCAGTGGTTGTTTCCATTTAAAAAAACGAAAATTGTGATGATATCTCAAAATCTAAAACCGACAAAATTTTTTTGACTACGTCATCAAATTCTCTGTAAAAAAGTGTCCATATAATGTCTTAGTTATAATACTCCAGCTATAATAATATCCAAGATAATTGCGCTTGCTGGTTTTACGATATTTTCAATTTTAGCCTCTAGCGGAAAAACAAAAGACGATAGCGCTATGAGGTTTTCGGCATTAGCAGTTTCTCGAAAAACGAGATCATGACATGTAAGCTACTTTTTTTCTAACTCTTATAGTTTCCGAGTTAGCCTATTCGGACATCGAATTTGAACCACCCTGTACATCAATGGGCTCAGAAAACAATTTCTATCCCATAACGTGAAGAAAAACATACCGAGCAATTTGAAAATCAAAAGTTGATAATCGCTTGAAATCGAAAATGGCGTTTTATTTGTAGCATGAATCATAGCATTCATCAAACCATTTCATTTGTTACCTCGTTCATAAAAATCGGAAGGTAAATGACGGAGTTACAGCTTACGGCGTTCTTGTGCGACAACCTGTATATACAGGTGTCTTTTTTCTGCTAAAATTACATTCAAAGTGGATGTATTGCACATCAGTAGATTCAGAAAAACAATCTCTATTTTTCTACGTGAAGAAAAATATATGGAGCAATTTGAAAAACAAAAGTTAATAATCGCTTAAAATTGAAGATGGCCTTGAAAAAAATTCATTTGTAGCATGAACCATAGTATTCATCAAACCATTTCATTTGATGCCTCAGTCATGAAAATCGGAATATAAATGACAGAGTTACAGCTTGGGGCGTTTTTTGTGTGACACCTGTATATCTATTCTATCAGACGCATCGAATCACAATAAAATAAAACTTTATCCAATTTTAGTACGGTATTTCGATATTAAGAACGGTATTCAAATTAAGATTTTAAATTTGGAATCAATCGAAGGGGAAACATCAGACATTTTGTCTAATTACTTATTTCGAGTTATAACAGACAACAATATGAATAAGAAAATTTTGGCGCTCTTGGCTGATAACACAAATACTAATTTTGGAGGACGCACCCGTAAAGGTGTCAATAATGTGTACACAAAATTACAAGATCTTCTGAAACGAAATATTTTGGGAATTGGTTGTAATGCTCACGTTATATCAAATGCCATCAATACAGCATCAAGTTCAATGTCAATAGATTTGGAAGTAATTATTACAAATGTATTGTTTCAAGAATTTTGTAAAGAGTGTGGTGTTCAATACAAAAAACTGCTTGGTTATTCCAAAGTCAGATGGCTTGCTTTAACTCCAGCATTAGAACGCGTTTTGCAGTTAAATGATCCACTACGTTCATATTTTTTAAGCCTTGACAAATGTCCTACAATTTTGAAGAAATTCTTTCAAAACGATATGTCAGAACCTATGCTTTATTTTATTTACAGTCAGGCGTCGTGGTTTCATAAAATTACTCTACAAATTGAAGGAGATAAAATTTCAGCAGCAGAAGTTTGTATTGTATTAAACGATTTCATACTACAATAAACTGACCGTTTTGGAAGATTCCAATCCCGGAATAAAAAATTAATTTCTAAAAGAAGTTAAAAATTTTTATAAAATTTGCTATGAATATATTGAAGAATGGATAGTGAACTTTAGAGCATTAAATTGTTTCAAATAGACCCTTCTAAATAGTAAAATTAAATGGAAAGAAGTTTCTTCAGCAGTCGAATTTGTAATGAAGGAAGTAAAAAATATTGTTATTAATGACAATTTTGTCTTTGAAGAAATTCGAAGAGTAAATTTATATTTAAATGAAGAAAAATTGAAGAAATGGCACTATGGAAAATAGAACTTGACAAAAGATGGGTAGAAATCTTTCGGCATTTTAGAACATATCCCACATGAAAATTTAAAAGTTTTAATAGAAATTTCCTTGTGTTGTCCAGGGACTAATGCTGCTGTTGAAAGGGTATTTTCACTAGGGAATGATTATTGGAGCAGTAAGAAGTCGCTACTTTCTGTAAAAACATTATCTGCCGTCTTAACAGTCAAATTTAATATGCAAAATGAAAGTTGTTCGGATGTGGCTACATTATTAGACCAACATCCTCATTTTGCAAAGAAAATCCAGTCCAAAGAAAAATATGTTTTTAAAAGAAAATAAAGTTTTTATCGTTTTTTCTTCTTTTTTTTCACCTATGAAATACTTGCAAAGTGTACTCTTTTTGAACAAAAAATAGTTGGTCACCTTACTAAATGGTAGTTCTAACCACTTTCTCTATATGAAAATGCAAAGGAGAGAGGTCTAACAGAATATCCAGAGTTGGCGTTGTGCTTATCTCGACCCTAATAAGCAACACACTCGTCTATTAAATCTAATGTTAATCTTACCAACATATTTGGGAATGATCTTACATCCTTTCCTTACTGTTGTCAGAATTTTAGAAATGTGCATCTATGCCTATATGCATCTAGTGCTACGTTCTAAATACTGTTCTTGAAGGATTACTTTAAAACCATTCTGGGATTCAAAGATTTCGTATTTTATTATCCTTACGGTTCCTCCAGGTTCCTCATGATGTGCAAAGAAGAAAAGAAAAATAATAAGCAGTTCAGCGCCATCTATCAAGTGACATAGCAAATATATTTAATATGTCAGTTCTGTCAACAATAATTTAACCTCAAAAACGAAAAGGAACGTTCTTTTTTACTAATTCTTTCATAACTGAACCAAATATTAATTAAGAAAAATGTCAGAACGTAAAGTATTAAACGTAAGTATCTAAGAAATTATGTAATAAGAAAAAAAATATAATAAATATAATTTTTTAGAAATACTATCCTCCGGATTTCGATCCTTCGAAAATCCCTCGCATGAAATTACCGAAGAACCGCCAATATACAGTACGTTTAATGGCTCCATTTAACATGCGTTGTGCCACTTGTGGTGAGTATATTTATAAAGGAAAAAAATTTAATGCACGAAAAGAAGATGTTGAAAATGAGGATTATTTGGGTATTAGAATTTATCGGTTTTATATAAAGGTAATTTTTACATATTATTGCATTCTCCAATTGACAATCATTATTAATTATAGTGTACAAGGTGTTTACAAGAAATTTCATTTAAAACTGATCCCCGAAGTACAGATTACGAAATTGAAGCAGGTGCCACTAGAAATTTTATGGCTTTGAAATTGGCTGAAGAACAAGCTCTTAGAGAAGAGGAAGAATTAAAAGAAGAAGAAGCTAATAATCCAATGAAATTATTAGAAAACAGAACTAAACAAAGTAAAAATGAAATTGAACTTTTGGAATCTTTAGAAGAATTAAAAGACTTAAACAGACGACAAGAAGCTGTTGATTATGACTCGATGTTATCTGTGTATGATTCCAAATTAACTGAAAGAGAACGAGAAGAAAAATTAAAACAATTAGATGAAGATTACATTAAGTTAGTTTTATTGAGTTGAATTAAATTGTGTTTATTAACCAAATTGTTTTAGAACTGTTAATTTCCAAAGTAAAAGAAAATTTGTTGTTGAAGAAGAAATCATTGAAGATGAAGTTCCTTTTGATCAAACTCAAACTAATTCATCAAATAGCTCATCGGCATCTTCATCAAAAAGTTTAGTACAAAAATCAGATAAAATAAAAAGTAATAATGATTGGGATAGAAAAGTAGGTATTTTAAGTTCAAAAAAATTTATTAGTGGATTGGTTAAGCCTAAAGCTAAAGATGTAAAAGCTCCAGTTGCCACTATTTCTAAACCAATTAATAATGAAGTGGTTGATGATAAAAGTAATTCAAAAAAATTAGAATTAAAAGAATCTAATGATGTAAGTAATTTAAAAATTGAAAAAGAGAGTGTACCTAAAAATGGAACAAATAGTCTTTTATTGTTAGCTGCTTATTCCGATAGTGATAACAGTGATTAATTAAGTTATTGAGTTAAAAAAAATTTTGAAATGATATAAATATATTTTAATTATAATTGATTATAATAATTAACATAATTTTATAAATATAAATTTTTAATTAAGATTTTATTGTTTTTTAGAATTCCTATAAACGTCTTTTCCTTGTTATAGTTACTTTAAATTATGATATTTTAAACAAATTCTTCGTTGTTGTATTTTGGAATACTTCTAGTAGTAGGAGTAACTCCTTTAATTAAAGCAGAATTTTCCATCTTTAATTTCGATAATTTCTCCGATTCCATTTTGTTAACCGCTTTGAATTTATCTTGAGCCAACTTTAAAACGGTCGTCAGGAGAAAATTGGCATTTTTTATTATAAATTGTCGTTGCTAAAAAAATTAAAACATTTAAAACTAATTCATACATAAAATATTGTTTATTATATTATTTATAACAATAGTTTTATTACTTTTATTATTCATGATCAGTATTAAGTGTATTTTTTTGATATTTTTCATTATTCAAGCCAAGGTTATAAGTGTGGAACTGTCAAGACAAATGAGAAGAATTTTCGACATATACATGCCAAACTTGAAAGTTGTGAAAATAATTGATTACTAAATAATTGATTGAAAACCACCATAAAACAGTTTTTCAATTAGAAGAAAATATGCAACAATAATTAACCGTTTTGTCACATTCAAAGACACATTTCTGCATCGAATGAAATTAATCAATTTCACAGCACACAGTGGTGTAAATCATTTATTTGATAAAAGTCAATTTTATAAAATTTATCTCAAAAAAGATGAGTTACTATGGGACGTAGTATAGTAATTAATTAAATAGCATAACCAGTTTGAAGGTACAGGTAACGAGGATATGTTTTGAAAAGTGTAGTACAGTGCAGTACATTGGTCGTTACTTGATCATCGTGCCAAACGTATTGAAATTAATGGCTATTATTGCAAAAATATTACAAAAATGCAATGACGAAAGAATAAATAAAAAGATGTAAGAATGAAAAGGAAGAAACCAACAACGGAAATGAACATAGGCGTTGAAATGCTTTTGAAAAATCTTCTTAGTCGCAAAGATAGAGAAGACCAGGCTCCATACCAGCCTCATTCGTTGTTAAAGAGGTTGCATGACTTCTCAATATGTATGTTAGGTAGATTAGCTCAACCTAGATGACCTATGCTGAGCCAAGGTAGATGAAAGTATTGACTGTGTCAATACTACCCATATCTTCCATATTTCAGGTCTGTTATTGTTTGCTCAGTCAATCATCATAATTTTAGTTTTCTTTTTGTTCACGGTTAAACCGATTTCACTCATGCATTGCTCAATTGGCCCGAAACGGTCGCTCAATCAGGGCGGTATCATCCACGTACCAGAGGTTATTAATTTTTACGCCACCCATTGATATTCCTCCATTGCAGTCTTCCAAGGTTTACATCAAGGTCCACTCGCCATAGATGTTGAAGGGACTGAGTATGCACCCTTTGCCTTACACCCTTTTCCACCTGGAATAGATCAATCAGATCGTTCTCAACTCTTACGTATGCTGTGTTATTCTCATAGAGACACATTGCCCATTTCATCCAGATTGTGTCATTGAACGCAATCGAAGGGCTTTGTGTTATTTATAAAGCATAAATAAGTAGTCGTGTTAAATTCCCTAATGTTTTGCCTTATGCTCAATATTTGGCACAAAGCCCGCATGCTCTGGAGATAGTTATGAGAATATGTAGGACTTTAGGTGTTCTGAGATGAGGGCACCTATTCGAAAATTGTCACATACCTCTCTGGAACCTTTTTTGTGGTGTGGCACAGATATCGATTTAGTACAGTCCTCGTGCCATCCACCCTGATCCCAAATCAATTGACATATTCTGTGCATAACATCGATACCCGAGTCTCCTAGTGCTGTTATCATTTCAGCCACGACGTTATCTTCTCCTGGTGATTTGCTGGGTACAGCACTTACTTCCTCTCTCATTACTGAGATCCCCATTTCTGTGTGCTATATTCTTTATTGTTGGTTATCTTTGTTATTATTTGTTGAGATTAGTTGCCCGCACTCAATTTTCTATCTTTCCTTGACCTAAGATTTGTCAGTCTTACAATATGGTGTATTCCGATATTGGAATTTTAACTTGTTCTCTTCAGTCTCGCCTCATCTCATCCCACCAACACATCTTTAATACGATCTTAAAGATTTTAATTGTTTTTCTAATTTTATAAAATTCCACACTTTTTAACGACGCCATTTGTGTTTTAATTTTCATCTTCATTTTGTTCATACATCAGATAAGAAAATACTTTACTTTTACTTGATTTCCAGTCTACACTTCTTATAGCTTCATTGACTTTGTCGCTGATAATAGGGTAACCCGAAACTATTACGACTACATATAAATAAATGCAAGTTAAAAGTTAATTTATGGTTTTTATATTCCGATATGTTTTGAAAAGTGTAGTACAGTGCAGTAGGTACATTAGTCGTTACTTGATTATCGAGACAAACAGTTGCATCGAAATGAATCACTATTATTGCAAAAATGTAATGACGAAAGAGTAGGTAAGTCAAAAGATGTAAGAAAGAAAAGGAAGAAAGCAACAACGTGTCTGTGATGGAGAACTCGTTTTCTATGCAGAACTGCAGTAAGCGTTTCTGTCACCCAAACCAAACATGCCAATTGCTCCTTGAACGTTGGAGTTCCTATTTTGGCGTTGAAATCGGCAATTATCATCGTGATGTCTTTATTAGAGAAAGTATGTAGTAGTTGATCCATTTGGGAATATACTTCGTCCACATCTTCATCTCTTACGTTAGTTGTGGGGAAGTAAACTTGTATTATATTGAGGTTAATCGGATAGGCCTGCAACTTTATAAGCATTATCCTATGATCTGATGACTTTATGTTCTCTTATTACCTGTGCTAGTTTTTATTCACTCTAATTCTGACGGCGTTTCTGGAGATGATTTGATGAGTAATCAGCACCTGAGAAAATGATGTTGTTCCGAGCCTTTCCAGTGCGTCTATATTTCCACTATCTATGGAATACCTGTAGATTTCCCTTCACTACGGCTAGTTTTCCTCATTCAACCAAACTATAAACATTCCAGATACCCATGTTCAGTGGCTTTCATATATTTCTTCCAGTAGCCTGGATCCGAGTAGCACCAATTGCTAGTTGGGTCGCCTGGCAAGACTACTTTCTTCGTGCTCATCAAAACTCATGAATGGTCTTAGGTTCTTAGTTCTTTGGTTAGGAAATGGGGATAGGACAATGGCTTCCCCCGTAAGGTATTGAGAGATAAAGCAAGGCGTGTGCATGAGTGCAACCCTGAAGTAGACCTGTCATCTGTCGCGATCACAGATATCACGGATATTTTAAAGTCGTTTTAAGGCCTGGAGTTCACTTAGAACCAAGTTGGGCTTGGTTGGTTTGGCTAAACGTAGGATCCTGGAGATGTCCATTCGCAGAATTTCGGCTTTTTGTTTGTCCATTGTGGTCGACGTTGGCAATGGTTTCTTCGACCGGAATAGTCTTGGGGGTTACGGCGTAGTTGAAACCTTTGCTATAAAATTATGGACGGTTTTCTAAATATGGAGAGGTGGGTGCTTCGATTTTTCGGTGGATTCCGTTTAAACTTAATAATTTATATACATTTTATAATAACTTTGTTGCATAACACTCATGAGATTTGATATTTACCAATAAAAATTACACAACCTGATTAAACACTATATTAAAGATAATAAACCCAATACTCACAAATTAATCAATTTTGTTATTAAAACGATAAAATAAAATAAACTAACCAAATTAATTCACACTAAAATATGCTCACTTTCATATGAAATCCACCACCCACTAAAATGTAAACTGCAATTTTAAAACTTCGGTAAAATAATAATGCTTTATTATCAACTAAGAAACGATGAAAACTTCCGCCGAAAAAAATCAACTGTTATGTTTCCTGTACCATTGTTATCTCCAACTTTCAATAATTTCTTCCTAGCAATTAATGAATTTCTGCCCACAAAATGTCAGTTTATTTAATTGCCAAACTGTCAAATAGATGCCTTGTAATGCCCCCAATGCGACGTCGTCGAAATTTTGCCCATATCAATGACTTTGATAGGGGCCGAATTATCGGTATGAAAGAGGCGGGTCTCTCATTCCGAGAGATTGGGAGAAGGCTGAATCTGGACCACACTACAGGTGCTCGGATATGGTGTTTATGTTCCGAAGAAGGTATTCAGGGGCACCGTCCTGGTGGAAGACCCGCCCGAAGAAGCAACATACGTGAAGACCGACGCCTTAGGCGGATGGCTACCAGGGATCGATTTCAAACAAGGTCGATTGCTGTGGATTGGACGAGAGCTTTGAACCGACACTTGTCGATGGCAACTGCTTACAGAAGAATGTCTTCCTTTGGGCTTCATTTATACCGTCCTTACCTTCGGCTTCCATTAACACCTCCCCATAGAGCAGCCAGACTTGCATGGTTTTAATGGAATGACATCGTCTTCAGCGATGAATCAAGGTTTTGTTTATAAGTGAATGATGGTCGTAGAAGGGAGCGGCGACATCGAGGAGAAAGACGGAATTTGAAGTTCGTTCAAAGACGACACACAGCCTTAACACCTAGGGCTATGGTTTGGGTGGCGATATGTGCTGGACGAAGGACACCCCTTACGTTCATTCCAGGCACATTAAACGTACGTCGTTACATCGACAACGTTCTGGAACCGGTGTTAGTACCTTTCATGCAGACGTTGCAGAATGCCACTTTCCAACAGGATAATGTAAGACCCCATACTGCTGTGGTTACAAGAAGGTTCCTGGAGCAGGTTGGATTGCAGATTTTGCCCTGGCCTGCAAGGTCACCGAACTTGTCGCCAATTGAACATGTCTGGGATATGATGGGTCGGCGACTAAGACAAGTACCCAGGTCTCCTGAGAATTTGGATGAACTTCGACACTATCTAGAGGTTGCATGGAACGAGATACCCTAGGAGGACATCGACCACTGCATAGCTTTTTCTTGAAAAATGTTCATTTTTGTTTTGTTTTTTTCCAACTAAACTTTCATCGTTTCTCAGTTGATAATAAAACATTATTTTACCGAAGTTTCAAAGTTGTAGTCTAATTCTTAACCTTTCGTTACTCACCTTTGAATCCTGTGATCTGTTACTCACAGCGGACTACCAGTCCGCACCATAATTATTAGATCTGAAGTGATGCTATTAAATCAGAAACTTATTTACAAACAACTAAACGTCTTTTAATGTAATTATGTGCCAAAAATTATATATTTCAGATCTAAAGAATAGAAATTTTGAGTGTGAATGATTGTATATAAATTCCATAACTAATAGATATACATATTAGATGCTTTATTCTAAAATGAAAATCAATAACTTGGTACAATAATTTATTTACATGTAACTACAAAAATGCGATTATATTTCTTCGAAACATTCGGAACATACTGAAATAGAATGCTCACCACAAATGAATCGAAAACATCTTTTACAAGAAAATCTTGTTGGGCGATTTTTTACACGATTGCAAAAATCCTCTTACATTCGATGATGTTTGCGGTTGTTGTTTCGTTCTTATATCGAGCTTAAGAATTTCTCGTATTATGAATTTGATCGCTCTTATATATTACATTGTTGCAGACGTTAGCGGAGGGAGTCTTCCACCAACGCAGCTAATAAAATTTGAAGAAATTCTCTTCAACGAAACCGTATTATTTCTGTGTTATTCAATAAGTAAATAACTTGCGCATTCATTCCAGCACATTTGCACATTTAGCAAGGCCTAAAGAAACACCATTTAGCTACTTTTGAGTATTTCTTGCACAGTTGTATGCAGCACATAACTTGTCCAATGTATCTACTCCACCTTTTGTGCGATTGTAATCCATTATCATGTCAAGTTTGCCAGTTTCTTCATCAATTTTGTCATCATGATGTAAACTTGATAACAATAGAACATTCTTGTTTCTTTTAGGAATATACGAAACTAAGGTAATGTTTTTCCGAAAACCGTACATGGTGGATCCAATTGGTCGTCACGTTTGTTTTTTCTGACAGTCCCCAAATAGGTCAATTTGAAATTAGTTCTTAGAGTATTGATTAGAACTAACGACGTAAATCAATTAACGGCTGTCACATTTCTATTTGAACCTTTTAGTGGTTCGCATAGTCTTTCTACTACAGCTTGAGAAGAATTACTACATGAATATCGCCCTGTTGGTTGAACGCCTACGTACACTTCTAAGTTGCAAGCAAAGTATGTCTTTGCATCTGCCAAAGCAAATATCTTAATTCCATATTTATTTAGCTTGCATGAAATGTATTGTCTAAAGGGACATCTTCCCCTAAATCCCTCTAATTTTTCGTCGACTGTTACATACTCAAATGGAGTATATGCATTTCTGGAATTTTGAACAAATATTTCAAATATATCTCTCACAGGAGCTAATTTGTCGATTGATTTTCTTTCATTCCGCGTCTCCAAATCGTCAAAACGTAAACTTTGTAGCAAAAATTGAAATCTAGTTCGCGTCATAACTAACCGAAGTAATTCTATACCTGTTCCGTTTGTGCTCCATAAATCCGCAGCGTGTAGTCGATTGGATTTCAACACTCCACCCAAATAAAGGAGTCCTTTTATTTCCGACAAACTAGTCAGTTTCGTATCCATTTCTCTACTATAGTTTTCTTGGTGTTTTTGAATGTATTTGTTGGTGCAAATCGTAATGATGTTTATGTCTATGTTGAAAAAATACTTCCAAATTTCTAAATAATTCTTGGTACCTTTTAGCGAAGCTTTTGGACCCGGCAAATGTTTTATTATATTCTCGGCACGCGTTCTTACATTTCGACGTGGATCATGTTTTTGCCATTTTGTAGAATCTTTCCCAATAAAATATGGACCTGTTATGGTTCTTGTTCTGCATCCGATACGTCCTGTTCACTAGAAGAATTTTCCGCCTCCTCTTTGTCGGCAAGATTTTCCGCTACTTCGTCATCTTCTTCGCAGTCTTCTAAATTTTCATCGTCTTCTTCCTCTTCCATCTCTTGAAACAAAAACACACGTCCATAAGTCGGCTCAATCCTTCTTGTTCTTTTTCGTATGTAGCCATTGCTTATTACACTTTTGAACTTCACAGCACCGTCGCTTATAGCGGACTGACCGACTCCGCAGTTTAAAATACAAAGTAATGAAGGGTATAAAAACGACTTAAATATTGGATAAATCTCCTAAATAGTGTGTACTCCAGGTACATAGAACTATAAACGTTTACTCCGAAGGGTTTTATTGTCATACCATAAAATATTTTGGTGCGGGACACCGCAATTTAAAACACAAAGTAAAGAAGATTACAAAAACGGCTGAAATATTGGCTAAATGTCCTAAATAGTGTACCAGGTACATAGAACTATAAACGTTTACCCCGAAGGGTTTTATTATCATACAATAAACTATTTTTATGAGTCCGCATGTGAGTAACGAAAGGTTAATGAGTGATGTATTTCATGTTAAAATGAGTGTCATCAAAAATAATTATAATATTTTTTTACCTCATTACGTTTTTCGTTCCTTAAAGTAACCTCGATGTGTTTCAATTGAGCTTCAAAAACAGAATACAAAGTACTTTCAATTCTGTACAACAAATCCGGCGCTTGCAATCTCATACAATCCTCTACTAAAGTTAAAAACACTTTCGTAAAAGACATCGTATTCGCCGTTAACTGCAACCAATAATCCCCAGTTACATAATTATTAACTTCCAAGCCAACATCTTTAAATTCCTGAAGATACCGCGACAAATGATTTCTGGACTTTAAATTCATTGGGGTCCACTTATCTTCCGAACATCGTACTTTAATTAAGTCAATTAATTTATTTCTAGTATCTTTTAAAGCTTGGTTTAAGTGGTCCCTTAAAGATCCATCGATTTGATAACACAAATCGATTCCATATTTACATAAACGATCACATTGCGAACGAACAAGAATAATGCAATCAGCTAAAGTTGTTAAAGATGTTTGGGGGACGAAAGCTTGTTTAATAAAATGGCTAGTAAAAAGCGCAATTTCATTGCTTGCCCAAACAACATAAGCGGAAATACAACTCGACGAAGTGGAAAAAGCTCTTAAAAATTCCTCCGTCATATGGCACAAATTTGTGAAAACAACACTCGTTAAATTTTTTGTATAAACAAACGTAGATCCTTCACGTTTTACTTGTTTACATTGAATTTTTAACATGCTACTGCATAATTTTAGAAACAAATCGCATGATTGCATTTTACGATCAAGTTGATTTAATAAACGAACAGCTCGTCTTGCCGCTCTTAATCCACCTTGAAGTGATTTATCTGGATTTACTTCCAATTCTTTCATCAAAACATCAATCAAATTAGTTTGTCTTTGATCAACTTTCAATCTAATATCATTGAAAATGTGGTCATCTTGATTTTTTGGTGGAGTGTATTTAGAAATGTATTCTTTTGCTTTATCAAGTAAAGAAAGTGCTTCCTCGAAATGTCTTTGAGCAACTGAAACATCTAAATCATCAGAAACCTCAATAAACCAATCAGGATGATGAAAAATATCTTCTTCATGTTCTTCAAAAGGATTATTTGTATATGGAACATCAATGGAGGATGATCTTGATGGTGATTTATCAATGATGGGTTCTTTTTTAGTTTGATCTTGTGTTAATCTATCTTTTTTTGCTTGATCTAACTTGTCCAACCATTCTTTTTTAATGATACTTGATTTGCATTGAAAAACTCGCGTATCTGGGAAAGCTAAGAGTTTAAAAGCTTGTTTTACATTCCCCAAATCTTTAACATTAACAATGGCAATGGTTCCCAAATCATAAAACACATCAAATTTAAAACTGCTTGTTTCACGATTTGAGAAATCTGAAATAGCAATCAATAAACCATCAGTAAATAATACCCCATAAACGCTTTGGATTGGGGTGTTCTCTAAAGAATCTAATTCAGTTAAATATCCTTCATACAATAAAATCTTTTTGGGATCATCTAATATCTCAGGACAATTTCTTATTTTTTCTCTCAAAGCCATCATTTTAATCTTTCTTAAATCCTCTTTTTTTGCTTCATTATTATCTTTACTAAGATCTGCTTCAACAACAATGTAAGCATCATCCCCCAAAATTGCTGTATTATACAAAGCACCCAATAAAGACTTTTGTTCTGTTAACAAATGGTTAAGTTGATACATTTCGCTTTCTAAATGAGATATTTCTTTCGCTGTATCGATAAATTGCATGTAATTATCATAGACGTTCTTTTTTAAACTGCCGTTTGTATCCTCTGAAAGTGATTGGATTGTTTTCCGTAAACGAGCCAGTTCTTGACCGCCAATACAATTTTGTGATAATTCTCTAACGTACTTTTCCGGATTAAAATCCGGGGATGATAACAAATTTAATGAGGGTTCTTCCATGATGGTTTTTTGACGCTAATTTGAATTTTTCACTTATTTAAAACGTTTAATTGAAGAACTAACCTCAAAATTTTATTTGACAAATCACAACTTTGTTGACTTTGTTTTGACAGTTCAGGCATAGTTTACACGGTAGACTTTATGGATTGTATAGTTTGTATTTTGTGCTAAATGAAGTGACTTTAATGAATTTTTATTGTAGTATATTAAGTACCAAGGAATAAATGTTTTAATTTGCGATTATTACTAACTAAATGCCTTCTAGATGTCGTTGAGTTGGTGAAACAAAATATCACTAAACGTCAGTTATTTTGGCGGATCGTGTTGGTAACAATTTTCTTTCGAAGTTGAAATGACAATTAACATTAACATCAATCAATCATGGTAAAAACAGAGTTTAACTTCACAAATCAACTATCTATACTAATTTCTTTCCTTCCCTAGATAAATAAGTCTGTACCTTAGAGCTAAAGGGACTTAAGTCCAAAATGACATAATTGTGAAATAACGAAAAATATACTATTTTTAATTTGAAATAATAATATAATTTTCATATTCTCAGCTCACAAACAATTTACCTCATAATCGCGAAAATATTGTTATTTAATACTAATAATCTGTCTTTATTCATTAACAAAACATTTTATGAAAACTTTTTATTTTTACGAATTTATTGGACTTACTACATTTTGGCTTCAAAAAATTATTTCTGAATGACTTACAACAAAACAATAATTTGGGACAATAATATCATGTATGAACTTATTACAACAAAAAATAAATTTTAAAATATATTAACTCATAAACTCATTCATCATCAGGGAAATCTGATGCTTCTTCAGTATGGGGGAAGTTTCTGAAATAATCCTGATATTCTTCAGGGACCCACTTAAGGAGAGTTACAAGATTATCGTACTTTTTGGTATATTTGACGGTTTTCGAATATTTCTATACAAAATTAATGGAACAAAAATTGTCATTAAATGACGTTTTATAAAAAAGAGTTCCAAATACTTCTCGCCGAAGCTGAAGCCAAACAATGTTGGACAGTTTAAACTCTTGGCCATCATTGCTTTTCTTTCTAGATATAAATGGCGCTGTTGATAAGGAGTACAATGTACTAAAACTTTTAAAATCTTCTAGGGCCATGGAGTACACATTAAATGGAGGCTTTTTACAATTGCGAATAAAATTTAGCCAATCGTTACAAGTAAAAATTGTTAATGGTTTTGCTTTCTTCTTTGCACGTTCGATGATGCTGTGCTGGCAGTCTACTTCCATATGAGTATGACCCCGTAATAAGAATTTATGATTTATAACTTTAAGACTGGGAAATACTTGCATTGTATCATGGTGTCTATCTTCAATGGTTTTGGAGATATTCCCGATTTTTCAGTTTTTAACGATAGATACTTATTTCGCAGCGCCGGCCACCTTCCCCTCGTATTTTACCAGGCTTGGGACTAGCAGAAATATTACCTGGCATGCTTAAAAAGTGGCCAACAAAACACAACAAGACCACTGGAAACAGAACACAAATAAAAAAACACTATTGCATCAAATGTTCAAAATGTAGTCGGTTTTGTTCACTACATAACAGAAATAGTTTTTGTAAGGAGTTTTGAACATTTCTGGTGTGATTTCTTGAAAAGTTCTTACAATGCGTTGACGAATATCATCAGGAGTAGTTGGTCGTAAGTAGTAAGATCTGGCGATCTCGGAGGCCATCTGACAGGTCCTCTTCGTCCTATACAGCGGTCCGGAAAGGACACATCCAAATACCGACGTACTTGGGCGGTATTGTGAGGTAGAGCACCATCGTGTTGGAACCACATCCACTGACGAATAGCTAGTGGAATATTTTCCAACAGAACGCCCAAATTATTTTCTAAAAATTCTAAATAAATCCTACCCGACAAACGTTGATTATGAAAGAAAGGGCCTATGATATGCGTTCCAATGACACCTGCCCACACGTTCACTGACCATCTGTACTGGCTAAGCGTTGCAAGGAATCGATGGGGGTTTGTTGTATCATAATAATCACAATTGTGACGATTCACAAACTCATTTTTGTGAAAGGTAGCTTCATTCGAAAACATCACTTGTTCGAAAAAATTCGCATCAAGATTAGTTCTTTCAATTGCCCACTGACAGAATAACAGCCTGCTTTCGAAATCGCCTTCAGTAATTTCTTGGTGCAACTGGATTCGATAAGGATGATAATTATGTTTTCTTAAAATCCTGTGTACCGAAGATTTACTGATGATTGTTCTCCTACTTATTTCACGCACACTAGATTCTGCATTTTCTTGCACAGCTAACAATTCGAGCTACTGGTTTTTATCCGTAAGTACGGAGTTATTACGGTTGCGCTTAGTACGTTTTACGGATCTAGTATTTGTAAATCTTTCCAGTAAGGACAGAAATGCCCTCCTATTTGGATGCCTCCTATCTGAATATTGTTGTGCGTAAACTCTTGACGCTAACAAAGCGTTTTTGTTACATTCGCCGAGGACGAAAACCATATCTACTAATTATTTCCGCGTAAGTGACATTTTTAATTATTATGTTAACAAATAATACTTTGAAAACCAGTTCTAAAGCGTGGAACACTAATGACAGTTCTAATGGGTGGAACACTAATGACAGTTTATCTAGTTTGTTTTCCAAGCCTACTTCAACTTTTAATAGTATTGCAAAGCGTCGACCACCTTCCATTTTACCAGTCTTAAGCCTACTTCGCAATACATATCTATCGTAAAAAACTGAAAAATCGGGAATATCTCCAAAACCGTTGAAAATAGACACCATGATACCTGTATAAAACTGAAAAGAAATTAAATTTTACATCCAGTTATGCAAAAACTGGTATATTGTTCCATTTAAAAAAAATAAGTTATCCATGATTAAAAAGTTCGAAAATTACAGATCCCTACTTAAGAACTCTATAATATAAATGCATAATTTTCTATTAGCAAACATGTGCTCTTTTATTGTTAATCCAAAACAGAAAACCAAATCTTTCCAGCTTTCACAGTTTCGGCAATATTACCAAATTTATAAGATGCTGTAAATGTCATTTTTTTCGAAAATCGTCATATAATTCAATAACGATATCAGTTAGACCTAAGGTATCCTTAACAAAGTACTATTGAAATTTCACAAAGAATCAAAAAATGCAATAATATACAGGGTGTTCTATTTAAAATAACGCCATTACTGAAACTAATTTTAAAATATGTACAATATTATGATTCGATTCAACTTTTATCTGAAACACTTTTTGAAAAACTCAATCATAATTCGGCTATAGACCGAGGCAACTTAGGTGAGACACCTGAGCTTTGTTCGTTGGGACTGCACTACTCTGCACGACATGGCACTCGTATGACGTCATAGTGCAATGAAGTGTAAGTCAGTACAATGTTATGTCAACTTAGTGCAGGTCAGAAAAGTGTATAAACCGTGGTCGCAACGAACAGATTTTTATAAAAAAAAAAGTATAATACAGTCAACGCCCGCTTAACGTTCGTACAACGTACATTTGTCATCCGCATTAACGTACATCGGCGATCCAATTTCATTATTTTTTTTATAGAAAGTGAATGATTGAATTCAAATAAAACTAGAAAAGTAAGAACCTTATTTTTACATTTTATTCTAATTTAAAAAAGTCGGTACAAGTAAAGATAGCATAAATAACTTAATAAATAAACGATTATTAACTTATCGATTCTTAAGTTTTTTTAGTTAAAAATTGTTTTAAGGTTAATTGCCTAAGGCCAGTCTTCTTTTTCTCTATGTACATGGTTTTGTAACAAGTAAACGCATCACGGAGCATACTTTATCTAGGATCCAAATTTAGTTGACAT